GGCTTGTTTTACAACGTCGTTGCCAAGCGACGAAAACCCAACCCCGATGGTAAACACTAGGGGGGGGGGCGTATTATTCTGCTTTATATAGCTATATTGAACACCCACCAAAAACGCGACCTCCACGAAAAGGCACTGGTGAAATTGGCAGTCCTTGCGATGTACGTACATACTTCGCTCGTAGCGCGGAGGAACTACATGCACTGCGTGTGTGGACTCTGGACTCTGTAGAAGGGTCTTCACAGCCGCGGCTTCATCACTGCAAATTGCGTTTTCGAAAACAAAGTAATTTCGCTGGGAGTTGAAGTTCCGACCAAGCCGTCAGAGGGTTCCCAGGTTAGCAACCGAGCCACCGGGGCGACCAGCTCTCCTACCACGCCGTGGTTGACGACACCACACATGCACAGCTCTAGTCTACAGCAGTACGCAAGGTATGCATACGTCAATGATCCCACCCAAAATCTATACTGCAAGGGAGGGGGTCCGATAGCACTTTCGACCCAGCGGTATTGTGGTAATTTTTGCCACAACAACCTTCCGAAGGTACCGTGTCGTATGCTTCGGCATACATTCCCGTGGGAGAAATCGATGGCTCATCATAGGCCGGTTAGGAGCTGGGGGGAGTGCTTGTTCTGCATCTCGTTGTCTCTCTTGAACATATAGTCTAGATCTCACCAAACGACATTCCCGAAGGACCCCATGCGCCACGGACGGGGGATAAGGCGAAGCGCAAAATCCAGCATACACTCCAGCTCCAGGGATCCAGGATGTTCCAGAGCCGGCGGTCGTTACCGCCATGACCATGATCAACCAGCAGCAGGAAAGACGGGCCTACACTGCACTGCCGCTGTACAACAAAATACCAATATTTTTTCGATATTTTTTGTCATCAGAAGACTGTCATGTTCATTAGACGAGGGATACCGTGTCGTTTTGCTATGTATCCTCGCGGAGCCCCTTTCTTTGGTGGGCGGAAGATAAACGGGTTGGTCTGGTCTTGGCTTTCCTAGCCTGTTCAAAACATTTGCGGATGGTACCGCAAACGTTGCTGCGGGAAATGTAGGATATCATAAGCGCCGACCCGTGCGACAACGAAAACGTGCCGCCCTCGAAATGCCGTTGCAGGCGCATACGACCAAGTTCATGGTGGACCAGCTGAAGTACACCTCTCTGGTCAACACCCGGCGGACCAGCTCGGGCATCTTCCGCTCGGCCAACCTCGCCAAAACTCCGGCGAGGTTCGGCAGCTTTGATGACTCGATAAAGTACGGCGGTGCGGTCCCGTCGGAGCACTATTTGCGGGACATGTGGCGGTTGTATCTCTCGAAACTCCCCGTGCTGGAGGTGGATAGCGTGGATTGGACCCTGGAGGAGTATCAGCACCGCTTGATGCAGCGCTGGGACGGAGACATTCTGGGTGGGGATGCTTCGTTTAAGTTTGCGAAGATCATCCGGCTCGGGGCAAAAGCGGGCGAGGAGCGCACAAGACCAGTGTACGGCTTCTTCACAGTCTTCAACGAATGTGAGCAGGTGAAAAATTCTCCTGTCTCTGCTTCGTTCAACCATCCCCAAACCCTTCGTGTTGGTGCCATGTTTTCTGGAGCAATCA